TGTATGGGTGTGGGGGGGTGTATGGGGGTGTGGGTGTGTGTGGGTGTATGGGGGTGGGAATGCATGGGGTGGGAGTATATGGGGGTGGATGTATTTGGAGGTGGGTGTGTTTGGGCGTGGGTGTGTTTGGGGGTGGGTGTTTTGGGGGTGGGTGTGTTTGGAGGTGGGGTGTTTGGAGGTGGGGGTGTTTGGGGGTGGGGTGTTTGGAGGTGGGGGTGTTTGGGGGTGGGGGTGTTAGGGTGTGTTTGGGGGTGGGGTGTTTGGAGGTGGGGGTGCTTGGGTGTGTTTGGGGTGGGGTGTTAGGGTGTTTGGGGTGGGATTACATGAGGCCCTGTTGCTTCTCAGAGGTCTGGAAAAGCACTGATGAGGAAAGCAGTACCTGAGCGGCCTCCCCACCTGGACCGCCTTTCTCCTTCCTCTAGGTGCTGCAGCCTCAGGAGCTCACAGAGCTGGGCTAACACAGCCTTTCCAGTCGGCTTCACCTCCCTCACGAGAGCTCTAGCCTCTGCAGCTCATCAAAGCCAAGACTGCCGCTGGCCCCTTTCCCTTCACGTGGTTTTCTGTTCCTGTTTCAGACATGACTAAAAAAAAATTCTACCATTTTTCTCAAGGCTGGCTCCAAAGCCCACACCCCTCAGGAACCTTTCTTTGTGATCCCAGAATCCACCCTGTTCATTGCTCCCATTTCTCTCCTGGCTCCTCTTGTGACTCACGCTTGGACCATGTATACAAGAGTGTGTGATGGAACAGCTTGGGAGTTAGGTTAACCAGCCCTGGCACATTTAGGAATGGGAGGCTTCACGGTCGCATGTTAAACGGTCCTGGATTTTTTAGACATCGTCTTGACAGGTTGACGTCTTGACACAAACACCAAGCAAATCACAAAAAGAGAACACGTTTCCTTTTAGAATAGCAACAGATGTGTGAGGCATTCTAAGGTCAGACAAATCTCACTTTCAGACACCAGAAAAATTGATCTGAGCAAGAAATAATGTATGCCTGAATCATCTCCTGACCATTAGGGAAGACCATTTACATGATCCTAAGCTCTGCCCCTTCGCAGGACACTGAAAGGACAGCTGCTGTGTGGTGTTGGTGTAAGACTCCGGATCCCATGAGAAGACTGTTGCTGTCTCCTAACCAGGCAAACTTCCGGTTTGCTTTCACCAAACCAGGACAGAGCCAGGAGCTGGCTTTAAACTTCAGGTTCCAACAGTCAGAGGTGTGTCCTGGCCCATCTACTTTACTTTACATGGGGCGTTAGTCCATGGGTCCTCTTCTTATTTGTAAACAGCCCCCATACAGGTGGTGTCGTAAAACCCAGCTCTAATTTCTCCATGTTACCAATCTCTTCAGCAACCCCTCCCTGCCTGCTGTGTATCAGGCAGAAGCAGGGAGTCTGACGCTCCGTTAGGGAAGCCCCTGTCCATACAAGGGTGACCAGTGAAGGAATTCGGAGTACGCCACGAGGTATCAGTTCTAAGGAGAAATCGGCAGCACAGAAGGCAGCGAAGGTGAAGGTGCCTCCCTGGAAGACACAGGCAGGCCCCCCAGAGCCTTATAGTTGCTCCTAGGGACTTTTGTTGTTGTTATGTATGGTTAGGACCAGAGCGGTGTGTGATAGATGTTAAAATTAGATTTTGCATATATGTTTAAGGTGGAACTGACGAGAAGTTCTGACCCATTAGACCTGGCTTCTCCGGGCGGGGCTGGGGTGGGGAGAGGCTGTCCACAAGGAGTCCAAGGCAGGTGAGTATGGAGTAGAGAGAGAGAGAGGCAGTGTGTACAAGAGCTAGTGGCACTGTGGCCATCACCTCAGTTGCCTGGTGGATGTTAGGAGGGGTGCAATCAGGTGGGTTAAGAAGACTAAAGGGTCCTCCTTCTTGCTTAGCTTCCTTAGGTGTACAGATTTTAGTATGTTTATCCTATATTATATGTCTAATATACACTTATAAGTGAGTATATCCCATGTGTATCTTTCTGCTTCTGGGATACCTCACTTAGGATGATCTTTTCTAGATCCCACCATTTGCCTGCAAAATTCATGATTTCCTTTTCTTTTAATTGCTGATTCCATGCTCACTCTTCATTCAGAAAGGCAAATGAGACAGACATCGGAAGAGGGAGAAAACAGGGAACAGGACAGGACCCTGCCATAGAGGGCCTCTGAAAGACTCTACCCAGCAGTGTATCAAAACATATGCTGAGACTCATGGCCAAACTTTGGGCAGAGTGCAGGGAAGTTTATGAAAGAAGGGAGAGATAGAATGACTTGGAAGGAACAAGAGCTCCACAAGGAGAGCAACAGAACCAAAAAATCTGGGCTCAGGGGTCATTTCTAAGACTGATGCTACAAACAAAGACCATGCATGGAGATAACCTAGAATCCCTGCACAGAAGTAGCCAATGGCAGCTCAGTGTCCAAGAGGGTTCCCCAATAATAGGAACAGGGACCATCTCTGACATGACCTCAGTGTTTGGCTCTTTGATCACCTCCCTGAAGGTGGGAGTAGCCTTACCAGTCCACAGAGGAAGACAATGAAGCCAGTCCTGATGAGACCTGATAGGCCAGGGTCAGATGGAAGGGGAGGAGGTCCTCTATCATTGGACTGGGGGAGGAGCATAGGAGAAGTAAAGGGAGGGAGGACAGGATTGGGAAGAGAGAGAGGATGGGGTTACAGCTGGGATACAAAGTGAATAAACTATAATTAATATGAAAAAAATAAAATTAAAAAAGAAGACTAAAGGGAACAGACTGCAGTGAGGGCGCCTGGAACTGAGAGGAAGGAAACTGGGTGGTGGGAACGGGAAACTGAGAACTGAACACGCTCCATGTGATGCTATGGGTTCTTGGTACCTGCTAAGGCACGTCTTCACAAACATGCACATGGTGAATTGTGAATCTGAATACACACGAGGTATTGACGTTCAGATCTGTAATTTTAGCACTCGAGAGGATCTCTGTGAGTTCAGGGGCCGCTTGGACTACAGCTGCTCAGATTGACAGAGGCAGTCACCCTGTGAGAGAGCTGGGTCACTGGTAAGGCAATGAACTGAATCCAGATACTCCTGTGCGGGGTGTGATGAGCAGGTGAAAATGTAGACTTTGCTGATGGGAGTCCAAGAAAGCAAGAAACAGTGCTGGGTTTGTCTCACAGAGCACGAAAGGACAGGGGGTCACTATTCAGGAGCCTTCTGTGGTGCTGTGATGGAAATCACACTGTTTACTGTTCAGGCTGGAGAGGAGGGTGGGTCTGGAGGTTCTGACCCTAGGCTCCAAGAGCCTCCCTGACAAACCTAGC